TCAGTTACTGTACTTCGCCTAGAATGCAAGAGGCAGAGATACATTTTAATATACACTTGGTAAAATCCTAGAGTGACAATTCCCAAATCCTAACACATGAAAATCACTCCCTGTAAAAACAAAAGACTCAAGCATTATATGCAACATTCTCCGGGCGAGTACACTGAACACAACACAATAAATGTCAGGGCCCAAACTGTTCAAACTGCCCTCCCAAGCAATACGTAAGGTGATTACCAATAGACCCCTGGCTGTATTCTAACAAGAGCGCTGTACAGTGTGTGGTCCCATTTTTTAGTAGCAACCAAAGTGTGATTCAAACTCCCACCATGATGTGAGCCAAAAACAACATGGATTTATCGAATCCTCGGCTAAGTCGCAGTATTGTTTAATGATCAGTCTACTCTTTTGTGGTTACAATATATATATATAAATATAAATATATATATATAAGTGTGTGTGTGTGTGTGTGTGTGTGTGTGTGTGTGTGTGTGAGTGTGTGGAGATGTGTTTGTGTGGCAAACAATCGCAGACATGTGCTGCTTACCTAAGCGAGACAAGCCACAGGGTTTTGAAATCTTTAGCTCCAAGTACTTTCAGCACTTCTCTCATTGCATTCATCAGGAAGGTATTCATTGTTGCAAGGCTGCATCTGAAGGAGTGAGGGGACGTTTCCTCTAGAACAGCGCAGTGAGGGCCCTATAAACCTGCTGCTGGCTCTCTCAGAATAAGAACACTGCGATAAGCCAAGGATTTGCGAACGGTGGTTGTTTTAGTCCGCCTCATAAACGAAAATTAAACGACACACTAGAACCCATGGATACCAAAAAATGCCTACAAGAAATCACGCACCTAGTAGAAGTAGATGTTGTAACCGTAGTCGAGGACAACGATGGGGGTGTGGGTGCTTGCAGAGCAAATTTCATCCACGTTTGGTGTAACTTAGCCTCCACGAGCAGTGATATATAATACAAACACTAATCTCTTTCTTGAAGAGACACCTAACTACGAACCATAGGACAAGGTACGCCAGTGCTTTACCAATCTACCCACACTTGGACAAATACTTGACGTTGTAGCAAGAGCAACCTTTTTTGAACCCAAGGCATCCAGCTTTCAGGGAGAAGGCATACAGCGTTTTCATCTCGTCCCCTGCAGCCTTTACTAGAGATTTGAAACAATGCAAGGAGAATCCCTTGCATTGGTGTCCTTGATAATTTTTGCATATTCTGAAATCCCTGTAGTTACTGTGATCTTATTGCATATATATATATAATATAAATATATATATAAATACTAAATATATAAATAATAAATAATATATATATATATATATAATATATAAATAGATATATAATATAAATATATATATAGGATGGGGTTCCACCTCTGGTGTAAATTTGGTACGCCATAGCCTCGAGAAAGTGTATATTTGTGTGTTGTGTGTTGTGTGGGGGGTGTTGTTTAAACGGATTAAGGATAACTACAAATGACCAACTCTAACTTCTTGAAGATGTAATAAACAAAGTATTACACAGTGGTGATAAGCATTGTTAGAAACAGTGATAAAGGCTTGTATAATCAATGACATAATACATATAAAAGAGGAAATGTTGATAACCGTACCTACTTCCTTACCAAGGCAGAATGTCGAAAGTCTGGAGATCCCTGGTGAAGAGAAAATTTTTCTATGCCTGGACACGGCTGATATGAGAATCAAGGGGCGTGAAGCACAACAGAAGTGAGACATTCCACCACGTGAAGCACAACTGAAGTAGAGACATTCCCACGACGTTAAGCACAACTGAAAGTGAGACATTCACGACTGAAGCACAACTGAAGTGAGTACATTCACGACCGTGAAGCACAACTGAAAGTGAGACATTCACGACGTGAAGCACACTTGCAGTGAGACATTCACGACGGAAGCAACAACTGAATTGAGACATACACGACGTGAAGGCACAATTGAAGTGAGCCATTACACGACGTGAAGCACAACTGACGTGGAGACAATCCGACGTGAAGCACACTGAAGTGAGACATTCACGAACGTGTAAGCAACAACTGAAAGAGAACATTCACGACTTGAAGCACAACCGAATTGGAGACATTCACGAAGTGAAACACAACTGAAGTGAGACATTCACGAGCGTGAAGCACAACCAGAAGTGAGACATATTCACGACGGAAGCACAACTGAATGTGGAGACATACCACGTGCCGTGAAGTCCAACATAAGTGAGACATTCACGACTTGAAGCACAACAGAAGTGAAGACATTCACGACGTGAAGCACAACTGAAGTGGAGACATTTCAGCGACGTGAAGCACCCGCAACTGAAAGTGAGACATTCACGACGATTAAGCACAACTGAATGTGAGACATACACGACGTGAAGCACAACTTGAATGTGATGACAATCACTGACGTGAAGCACAACAGAAGTGAGACAATCACGACTTGAATCACAACTGAAGTGAGAACATTCATCGACGCCAACCAAAGTAGCTCATACTACGGCGTTTATTAACCCATAACTAATCTTGGCAGCTTACGTATTAGCGATATTGTTTAAAGCGTCGATCAGATAAAGTAGAACTGCCCAAAAAAAGTAAATTAAATTAATCCCGGAAATTTTTCCCCTTGCAAATTAATTACATTGGTGAAAAATTACTGATATAATTTTGTTTTTTAATACACTCCCAAAACCAATCTTGACATCATGACTCACCTTGACTAACATGAACATAAACATATTTTTTAATCATAGTTTAACCTAAACTCTCGGCCACAAAACAGTCAGCATTAAATTTAATACAACCCACTATATAACTATGTCGTTGCTTTAATGTCTTGCTTTAAGTCGTTGCTATTATGTCCGTTGCTTTATGTCCGTAGCTTTATATCGTTGCTTTAACCATCCAAAATCACACTCAGTGCCTATTAAACTTACATAACCAACACACTAATGTCTCATTGAACAACACGTAATAGTAATATCCAAAATAAAAATTGATAAACCATAATTATATTTCAAGAGTATATAAAGGCCATTGAAAATTAATAACCAAAATACAAAGTTAACCTCCCAGCCCATCTATGTCTCTACGCAATAAAAATGTCAGTCTGTGTAACTAACAAGGCAACAAGCCTTGCCTAGCAGCGCGACCCGCAGATACAAACAATGCCAAAACCATTTCCTCAGTCTCCCAGGAGGCTATAGGAAAGTACTGGTTTTGGTAATAGAGTGGAGGATGAGTGGAACAACTCCCAAGTAGCAGTTATTGAGGCCAGACGTTGTGAAGCTTATAAAAATGAGGTTGGATAAATACATGAGTGGATGTGGGTGGGTGTGAGTTGGACCTGATAGCTTGTGCTTCCAGTCCGGTTTGGCCGTGTGTTTCCTCCCTTTAAGTCAAGTGACCCTTACCTGACTAGGATGGGTGCATTTGCTTAAAGAGCCGGTAAGGAGACTTGGACCTGCCACGCCATGGGCCAGTAAGGCCCAACTACAGTGTTCCTTCGTTCTTATGTTTCTTATACGAACTCTGGTGAAGTGACCTTGAATGGTAAGTCAAGGATGGTGGTGACCTGTACACACCTGGGATTACTTTACGAATACCTACCTCTCAGAAGCCTTTATAAATAGGGCCTCACCTGGCAATTAGCAAACACAGCAGTAGTGGCATAAGCACCTCCTCTTGATCAATGCTGTTGCTGGACTAAAGTCAGCATTCTCCGGAACAACGAACTACTGGGCGACACACGGCACTTGCATACCCCGGTAGTAGTTGGCATTCCAAAGTTTCAGCTACTGCCTTCACTGTGGAATATAACAATTGAGATACAGTACTGCCTCACTGTGGAAATAACTACTTTGAATGATACAGTTACTGCCTTCAACTGTGGAAGATAACACGTTGAATGATACAGTTACTGTCTTCACTGTGGAAGAAACAAGTTGAATGAACCAGTTACTGCCTTCACTGATGGAATATAACACGTTTGCTGAAATTATACAGTTTACTGCCTTCACTGTGGAAGAAAACACAGTTGAATGATACAGTTAACTGTCTTCCCTGTGGATGTTAAACACTTTGCTGAAAATGACAGTTTAACTGTCTTCACTGTGGAAGATAACAAGTAGAATGATACAGTTACTGTCTTCACTGTTGAAAGATAAAACACGTTTCTGATTGAAACAGTTACTGCCTCACTGTGGAAGATACACGTATGAATGATACAGGTTACTGTCTCACTGTTGGAAGATAACACTTGCTGAATTATACAGATTACTGTCCTTCCACTGTGGAAGATCACACGTTTGAATGAAACAGTTACTGTCTTCACTAGTGGAAGATAACACGTTTGGAATGAAACAGTTACTGTTCTTCACACTGTGGGGGAAAGATAACACGTTGCTGAATGATACAAGGTTACTGTCTTCCACTGTGGAAGAAAAACAGTGTTGAATGATACAGTTACTGTCTTCACTGTGGAAGATAACAAGTTGAATGATACAGTTACTGTCTTCACTGTGGAAGATAACAAGTTGAATGATACAGTTACTGTCTTCACTGTGGAAGATAACACGTTGAATGATACAGTTACTGTCTTCACTGTGGAAGATAACACGTTGAATGATACAGTTACTTGCCTTCAACTGAGAATATAAAACAATTTAATATCATTACTGTCTTCCACTGTGGAAGATAACAAGTTGAATGATACTGTTACTGCCTTTCACAGTGGAAATAACAAGTTGAATGATTACAGTTAACTGTCTTATCCACTGTGGAAGATAACAATTTGAGATGATACTGTTTACTGCCTTCACAGTGGAAGATAACAAGTTGAATGATACAGTTTACTGTCCTTTCAACTATGTGAAGATACAATTGAATGATACCGTTACTGGCCTTCAACTGTGGAATGATAACAAGTTGAGATGATACAGTGTACTCTTACTGCCTTCACTGTAGAAATAACAAGTTGAATGATACAGTTACTACAGTCATTCAACTGTGGAAGAAACAAGTTGAATGATACAGTTACTGCCTTCACTGTGGAAGATAACAAGTTGAATGATACAGTTACTGTCTTCACTGTGGAAGATAACAAGTTGAATGATACAGTTACTGCCTTCACTGTGGAAGATAACAAGTTGAATGATACAGTTACTGCCTTCACTGTGGAAGATAACAAGTTGAATGATACAGTTACTGCCTTCACTGTGGAAGATAACAAGTTGAATGATACAGTTACTGTCTTCACTGTGTGAAGGATAACAATTGAATGATACAGTTACTGTCATCACTGTGGAATATAACAAGTAGAATGTATACAGTTACTGGTCTTCACTGTGGAAGATTAACAAGTTGAATGAATACAGTTTAACTGTCCTTCACTGTGGAAGATAACAAGTTGAATGATACAGTTACTGTCTTCACTGACAGTGGCCTGGTGTCACCAGGCCACGGCGTCACCAGGCCACGTGTCACCGAGTCCACGGTGTCACCAGGCCAAGTGTCACAAGGCACGTTGTTGTCACCGAGTGCCACTGTGTCACCAGGACCACTGTGTCCACCAGTCCACTATCACCATGCCACGGTGTCACCAGGCCATGG